CACCGCCGCCGCCACGCGGCTTGCCGACGACGACGACGAAGAAGACGACGACCGCGACGACGACGACGACGACGACGTCCAGGACGACGACGACGACGACGGCGGCAACGACGACGACGACGACGACAACGACGACCACGGCGACGACGACCGAAACGACGACGAAGACGACGACGATGACGACGACGAGGACGACGACGAAGGACGACGACGAGGACGACGACGAAGCCCGCGACGACAACGACGACGACGAAGACGACGACGACGACCACAACGACAACGGCGACGACGACAAGGACGACGACGACAAGGACGACGACGACGACGTCTGCGCCGACGACGACGACGAGGAAGACAAAGACGACGACGACGAGGACGATCGCGACGACGACGACGACGACAACCCTGACGACTGCGGCAGCGACGACGACGACGAAAACGACGGCGACCACGACGACGGCCACGACGACGACGACAACGATGACCGCGACGACGACGACGACGGCCGCGACGGCGCCGCCGCCGCCGCGGCTTGCCGACGACGACGACGACGAAGGCGACGACGACAACGACGTCGACCACGACGACGACAACAACCACAACGACGACGACGACGACGACAACGACCGCGACGACGACCACAACGACGACGACGACAACGACGACGACGGCGACGACGACGACGCCCGCGACGACGACGACGACGACGACGACGACAACGACGGCAACGACGACGACGACGACGACAACGACGACGGCGACGACGGCGACTCCGACGACGAGGAAGACGAATACGGCGACGACGACGACGGCGACGGCGACGACGACGAAAACGAAAACGACGACGACGACGATCGCAACGACGACGACAGCGACGACGACAGAGACGACGGCGACGAGGAAGACGACCGCGACGACGACGACGATGACCGCCCGCGACGACGACGACGACGACGAAGACGACGACGACGACGAAGACGACGACGACGACGACGACGGTGACAGCGACGACGACGACGGCGACGACGACGACGGCGACAACGACGACGACGGCGACGACGACGAGGACGAAGACTACAACGACGACGCCGACGACCGCAACAACGACGAAGACGACGACGACGACGACGCGGCCGCGGC